AATTAACTGGCTCTGTAGTGTGGACGGGTGAAGGGTTAATTCGGATTAAGGCAGCTAAATCCGAATTAAAGTCCTAGTGTAGACCAGGCCTAAGAGTGCCCTCACAGAGAATAAGTGGAAATGGCTAGCCAGTATGCAGCTCAATATTTAGATAAGAACAGTATTGTCATAAGTCAGCACAAGAATCAGTAGATGCCGGAAAAGTTGATCTTTCACTGTAGAGTGTGAATTGATAGCAAGAGCCACAAAGAGCTCTCTGCAGAGGAAAGAGCTTGGATGCTAAACACACAGCCAAAGAGGTCCCTAACTACAAAAAAGCCAAGGACTGTTGTTTCTAAGTGTCATGCTGTTGGGCAAGACGCTACATGTGAAATTGTCAGTTTTCTTCTCTAATTGCCCTGGCATATTTTACCAATTTATCAACCTGTGGCACCTACGTTCCAGGAAAGATGGCTAAGTCTCTGGGCTAATGACTAAAGAACAATATGTATCTAGCTGCTCACAGGATTACTGAACCAGAGCAGCATTTTGATAACTGTAGATGCCACCTGAACAGCTGGGGTGCACACACACAAAGGAAATCAGTACAAAAGGAGGAAGGATCCATGACAGGCGCTCATAAAATGAAAATCTACTGTCCTGGTAAGCTGGCTCAGCAGACAGTTAATATACTCAAGCAAGTGGAACCTCCATCTCAAGATTATTTTTTTAATTGCAAGTCAGGTTTTTGGGTGCACTCTCGCTGGATCTAATCATGTCAAGATTGAGCAACAAGGCACCTCCAGGAGAAGGAACCACAAGGGTACAGCAATTGACATCCTGTCCAAGAGATGGCTGAAATCCTTTCTGTATGTCTTGCCACCTGTATTCATACTCTGCAAAATGATACAAAGCCAAGGTGATTCTGATTGTTCCTTAGTGTCCAAAGAGCCTTGGTCTTCTGACCTGATCAGTCTATTGGTCTATCTGCCCATCTTCTTTCCCTGCAGGAGAGATTATGCAGTTGGGGGTCCAGTTCTGAACATGAGCCAGAAAAGTGAAGTTTAGCTGCATGACACTTGAAAGGGAGTAATTGAAAAGGGAAGGCTGGCCTTCTACACCACCTTACATACATCACATGAAGTTGCCCAACAGCCTGTATTCTAGAGCCTGGTCATGGGTTCAAGTACCAATGGAGGTGCAATCATGCAGTACTGTACAAGTCAAGGCCAAAGATATGTTCTGAAGTCCCTAAATCAGGGCTTGACAATACATCTAAAATATCGGACTTTAAAATCCCACATTGCAGCATAATAGCACACTGCATTCAACAGAAAATAGACTTGACTCTATCCTGACACCGGAAGGTTCCCCAGGACACCTTGGCTAAGTAACCGTCTACATGTGTATGGAATACAGCACTTGTGTTCAATACTCTGTAGATGTCAGAAGGGCACTCAAAATATACAGTTCATCTCAGTGCAGTCTGATGGAATTTGTAAGGCACACTTGAACCTCTATCAATATGTTTACCAGTTGGATAAGATAGACCTGCAAGCTTAATTGGACGCTTCCTTTGGCGGAAGAGTTCTGCACGCGGTGGCACTTCAGGGATTAGGCAGTGATAGAGAATAAATAGAATGCTAAGTGTGTTCATGGAGCCATACACATAGACATCTTTGGTGATCTTAGTGATAACGTGCTGAACACCTATATAAAAGGAGCATGGATTCCCAATCCAGAAATATCAAACTAGGAAACATTTACAAATGAAATGAATTGAAGGAAGCTAGTTGGCACAGAAGTAGAGGCTACTAAAAGGAAAATCCTTTTTACCCAAGAGTGGGAGAACGCTCTAAAGGAAGTGGTTAGAAAAGAAGATACACATGGAAACAGATTTATTAAAATATTCGAAGGTGAAACTGAGGCACTCCTTTTGTTGTAGAGAAAGAAGAGGCATTAGTAAAGAGATTTAAGAAAAAGAAGATGTAATCAGACTGTTTCGGTATTGAAATGGACTTGGACAATCTAATGGGTCTCTTCCACCTCAAGCTTCTTACTTTTAACCTTGGTAACATTTGGATAGATTGGAAGAGAGAAAGGGAATAAAAATACAAAATGCTCTTGAAACAGTTGCTCCATTGCAAAATTTCATTTCAACTGTGCATACATATTTTCCTCTAGTTCCTTGTCTGCATGAGAACAGTAGTTGGCAGTACAAAAGTTATAGTAAGAGGAGACTTTTTAATCTTCTCTCCTGTAATACAATTAAGAGAGTATAAATTCATTCAGTTTTGAAACCGCTGACTCTGTCCCACCAGATAATTTAAATACACATCTTGTCTACTTCCCACTCTTCTGAATCTGTACATATTGTAATTTGCTATTCATCATAGAAAACTGCTACTGAAAATAAGCACTAGTTTGATAGAACTCATATGATCTCTGGCTCTGAACTCCTGAATTACAGTGATCTGGAAATTGATAATATTGGATCCATACCAGTTATGTTTAATATCCATGCAAATAGGTTACAGTTAGGATTAAAATAGAATTTTGATTTGTTTTAAAGTAAACTAGTGTTGGGGTTTGTCAAAGTGATTAATGATCAATTAGCAAAAGTGTGCTGTTCGTAATTGTATATTAAGTAGAGAAGAAAGTCAAATGGAAGGTTTTTTTAATTTAGTGTGCAGTACTGATTTTTATTTATTTATTTATTTATTTATTTTTCCTTGTGCAGAAGAAAACCAAACAAATGTACAGGTGACACCTGAAATTCTGCCAAAGCCCACTGAAGAAGTACAAGGTATGAAGGCTGATGGGACTAGGATATTTAGTAAAGCAGGATACAGGAATGACAGAGTGAGTAAAGGTCTTCCATCTGAGAACAATGAATGCCCAGATATAGACACTATCACGGCCAGTGGTGAGGTTTCAGAAACCAACACCTTAGTTCCCTTAGAGCCTTTAACAGTTGTGGAGACTGGATCAACAGAAGAACATCCACAAGAAAAGCGAGAATATAAAGGATTAACAGCCTGTACTACAATGTCATTGACCGCAATGGGTTGTGCTATTTTTGATTCAGAGACTGGAGAAGTAGAGTTGTCTAGATCAAGCCATGTTAATGAAACTAATGCAGCACCTGCCAGTTACCAGACTTACCAGCAAGATGAAGAAAACAGCCTTCATAACAACAGTGCTGTTCCTGTATCTAAAAGTAGTGTTGAAGTTGATATGCTTCTCATAAAAGAAAGCTCTGAAGCATTATGTGGTTCATTAAGAAGTTTGTGTAGTCTGGAATCTGGAAATATGCCACTGGAAGACAACACTACTGAGATCTGTGAAAAACAGGAGGAGTGTCTTCCTGAAGAGATAGAAAGCCCAAGCTGTGATGGTGATAGTCAAAGAACTGAGTTTCTAGAGAACTGGATCTCCAAACCTGTGATAGAAGAACAGCTCTCTCCAGTGCAGAGTGAAGAAATGTCCAGTGATGAGGCTGAACAATTGGAAATGGATAGTTGCACTGACCATTCATACAATTATGGTTATGGGAAAGTTGCTGAAATCCAGAGAGAAACTGCTATGAAGAACAGTTGTGGCATGGATAGTGGGTATGATATTCAAGAAAATGTTCATTCAGAGAGCTCTAATTCGCCAGTTCCTAGTTCTGTTGCTTCATCAACTGAGGAGTTTCCAAAAGGAGATTTAAGAATCCCTTCAGAAATTAATAACTTAAAAAAGGATGGGGACCAGTGGCAAATATGTATTAATGATGTATGCTGGGGTGATGTAGTAAAACAACATACAAAAGAAAATAGAACTCTGTTGGTGGACACAAAAAACCTTGTCAGTATTCAGACTGGAGCCGTGCATACATGCTCTAAAAATATCTACAATAAATATGCAAATTCTCCTCCCACTGTTCATGATTTTCTGGACTATGGCTCCAAGGCAGATGAAGTTTCCCTTGAGGCACAACTGTTTGAAAAGGAAACCAACAGCAGTTCAGTGGTAGAAGATCTGAACAACAGTTTTGGTAAAGCTCCAGAAGCAAATAGTGTTAATGTCAACCTGCCTACATGCAAAGAAACTAACTTTGCTTACACACTAGATGAAGCTCTTAGTTGTGATGCAGAAAAATCAAGAGTGTCTCTCGGGGTTATAAGTGAACTTTCTTCTTGTAATGCTGATGCAGTTTCAAACAGAGATGTGTACCTGGACAGGCTGTCTAAGAAAGAATCCATCATTTCTTCTGCAAAAGTGGAGGCACAACATGCGGGCCTTCTGCTTCATAAAAAGGAAGAATTGTCTTTACTAAATCACAGGAGTTTCAATACTTCTAATGTAGCAAGTAAAGGTTCCCAGAAGAGCATGCACTCTGCACTGGGGGATACAGAGAAGATGGTCACGGATATGGAAAATGAAGAAAGTGACATATGTACTCATAATGACCAGTGTATAAAAGACCACTGTTCAGCTGTCAAGACCTGCTTCATCTTATCAGATAGTACCAGCTTGGATAATGCTACACTGAACAAGGATTCCTTTAAAGCGCAGGCTAAATTGAAGACTGAAGAAGTCAGTGGCTTGGAAACAGGAGACTTACTTATACATAATGATAAAAAGGCAGTCAACCCTTCCGAGGAGAACACTCATGTAGCATGTGAATCTGTTCCTTGTGAAGATAGTTGGAATTGCAGCAATATGTTTCATTATATGGCAAGTCGTACTTCCACAGTAGAAAAGCTATTGCATTCAGCTTGCACTCCAGATGAGTCCACTACTAGATTATCAGAAGTGGAGATTTCAAATACAAATGTTGAAGTAGAAAGCTCGAAACTCTATGATGACCATAGTGAAATAACAGAGGAAAGGCTAGATTCTGGCACCAGAGAGAGAACTTCTGATACAGATAAGGGACAAGAACAAATTAACTCTTATGAATTACAGAAAGATGAAATTGATAGAATAGAAACTGTGGATAGTGTAAAGGCTCATAAAGGCAGTCACCAAAATGAGACTAGTGAACAGTCAGTCAACAGAGATTTGAAAAAAAACATATTTGGTATCCATCTTGAACTTGGCAACACAACAGTAGTCCTGGGAGAGGGAGAACTAAAGATGTACAAGAAGATTGTGTTACCTTGTGAATACAATCTTTCCAAAGGCACTACTTCAAAGAGTGACACAGACTCTGGCATCCCAAGTCATGAAAAACATTTGGACGAATCCTTTGACTTAGAATTGTCGGGTTTTAAACATTCAAAGCAACCAAATGAGACCATTTGTCAGGTGGAAAATCAATATCTTGCATGTCAAAGTGAGCTTAATGGGCCAGTTTCATACAAGCAAAATGAAACCCGAGTAGCCGATGAAGTTCTAGAGTTCCAACAGTATGACTTAGACATCTCAAATAAGCAAATATCGAACACTGGTGTACAAACTATGACAAGTTCAGTGGATGAACCTAAAAGATCTATCCGCTTCAAGGAAAATGAACCATTAACTCTAAAGAAAGATGAAGACACAACTCCATTGGTTCATGAGTCTTTAAGAGAAAAGAGTTTTCAAGGAACTTTCAAAGACGTAATGGTGGATAACTCTTCCAATAGTATGGTAGATACAGACTGTTCAGAATACACAGATTCCATCAGTGATCTATCGGAAGGGGAGAAAGTAGAATTAAAAGAATATTATAATGTAGGTAGCAGTACAAGGGAAGATCAAGGAACTTTCAAAGGAAGTATGGTGGGTTATAGTTCTTCTAAAAGTCTGGTAAATGCGGACCATTCAGAATACACAGACTCTATCAGTAGTGCAAAGGAAGATCAAAAAGAACTTACAATATTGGCAGAAAATACCAAACTTTCTGCATTATTGAACATGGGCAGCTTGGTTATGGGCCCGGAAAATAAAATTAAGACCATTGTTGAATCCTTTTCTGTCTCACAATCAGCCTGCAAGAGTCTTTCATGTGCACCAGAAGATATGACTCTCGTTCCAGAGATCACAAATGAAACATGCTTACTGTTGGATTCTTCAGTAAATCATAGAATCATAGAAAGAAATAAAGCTTGTCCTCAGCCAGAACTTGTGACTTTTACGGTTGCTGATGGTCCAGAGAGAGTGAATCCAGTGCAATCTGAAGAGTTCTGTGCAAACCAAGAGCTTTCCAGTTTGAAAGGTGTAACTTCAAAAACACCTTTGGCTCAGAACTCAGAAATCTGCCTGCCTCAAAAAGATGAGCTGCCTGCATCATCAGAGAATGCACAGATAGTTGACCAGGATTCATCTTCAGCAAATGCTCTCTGTAATGACTATTCTGCTATAGAACCTCTTGAGCTGATAGAGTCATTTGAAAGAAGAGCTGATGGCAACTACAGCGCATCTGAAGAGAGAGAAAAAGCAATTAGCTCCCTAAACGATGCAGTTAAATTAGAAGTGTGTACGGCTTCTCATGCTCACAGCAAGGAGAGGTCTGTAAGTGCAGGGGATAGTGAGCCAATTGTAAAAGAGATGGATGTAATTTCATCAGACAGTATTGATTGTGTACAGAAGTTTAAAAGACCATCTGTAAAAGACCAGAGGCAAAGTGCAGTAACTGCAGAAAAAATAAAGATGCCAATGCATTCCATTTTTGACCATAAAAATTATTTAGGAGTTTTGCTAGAAGACTTGAAATTTTCTGGTGACAAAGTTAGAAGCTGTGTGCCTCTGAAGGCTGAGCCTTATGAAAAGCCTTCACAAGCCTACTCTAATGAACAGATCCCAGAATGTAGTTTGAATAACGTTTCAGATAAAGGAAAAACTTGCGTTAAAGATCACTCAGAATTAGGAGATGTCAAGTTGCTTTCAGAAATCGTAGACAGTTATTTGCAATCTAAAGACTTAGTTAACAAAGAAACGTCAGAAGTCCATTATAACACAATATGTAGCAATAAGCCGTCAAAAAACGACACAGAAACACCTTTAAAATGTCTCGATTGCAGTGAAGTGTGTCTGCCTTATGAATTAAGTTCACAGAGCAAAGACAACAGGAAGGAGGTTATAGGAGACCAAATAAAGACGCCACATGACTCAATCAGTGCAGAAAATGAGGTGTCTGATGCAGAGAGATTGGACAAAGTAGGTGAATGTCAAACTCTTAAGCGAAAGATGTGTGAGGAGACTGAAGTACATCCAGCTCAAAACATCCTACTCCGTGTGGGGCAGGCACAGCAAATAAAGGAGTCAAAAGACCAACAGAAAGCAAAAATCCCATTGCAGGAGAGCGTGGTGTTTGATAGTGAGCCTTTAGATAATTCTTCAAATGAACTGGTGACATCTTCAAGAGTCATGAAGACTGAAGGTCCTAGAGAGCAGCTCTTCGCTGTCATGAGCAGTATAAATGATAGTGACAATAAACAAATATATAGCACTTTACAAGAAGCCAAAAGGCCAAAGATTTCCAAGGATGATGATGATAATGCAGAGCATTTAAAGACTATGGACTCTGAAGTGGAAAGCCTGAGCTTTCATTTAGGGACCCACATTGAATTGTCAGCAGATAATACCCCTTTCATTCCTGTTTCTCTCTCTGAACCACAAGCTAAAAGCTTTGCTGGGGATGATGAAATCCATGGTGCCTTTGGAAGTACACACAAACTAAGAGGACTTTTTTCATTAAAGAAGCAGCCACGAAGGAAGGTTCCCACATCAGATGAGCTCAATACTGTAAGAAAAATTAAAGTTAAAAGCTCAGCTTTTATAAGGAATTCCCCTGAAACTGTTCCTACGCAAGAACACAAACTCCTCAGCGCTGTATATTTTGCATGTAACCCATCAGTAATGGAACCAGAAATAGCCAAGAGACTGGACCACATGTCAAAGCAGAGAGCCAATAGGTGCAGTTTGTTGAACAGCTTGAAACTTAGTAAATGTACCAAAGAACCAACACTGTTAAGCAGGCTGTCTACTATGGCCAGTAAACTGCTGGCCCCACCCAAAAGCATCCACACGTTAAAGACTCTGCAATGTTCCTCTGACCATCCAGTGGTTGAAAGGTTCAGCCAACTTAGATCTAAAAAGCTACTGGAAGTTTTTTCATGCATTAACATGAAGTTAAATTCTCACCAGGCTGATGGCTTGTGCACCAAGATGTTCAACCTTCAGCCGTTGGCACTTTATCCTGTAGACTCCACCAAAATACACATTTTAGACTGTAGTAGTAGTAACATTCCATCATCCGTCTTCAATACCCCCATTTCCCCAATTTCTTTTCACATAAAATTGGACTCGGATTCTTTGATAAACCTCAGGGGGATTGCATCCCAACAGTGTGTCCCTGATGTACCAGCTTTAGGAGAGGCACCGTTACATCCGTCACAGCCTTCAAAATGGACCTTCTCTTTCCTCCTGTCCCCAAGCTGCTCAGGTACAGCAGCTTTCGGGGAAGACACTAATCTCAGTAAGGAGCTGCAGTCTTCTGCTCTATCTCGAGCAACCACAGAGGCCGTAATCCCTAGTCATGACATTAGGAGAAATCCCATAGCTAAAAGAAGAACAGGGTGCTCCATGCTTGGCCTTCACACAGTGTTAGCACTTTCTTCCCCTGGATGTTACAGGATCTGGACAAGAAGAAGAAATGTAACCAGTCGAATTCCTACTGTCCAGAGACTGTTTATGTCACAATTCACACAGGGCTTGAAAGGGTTAAGGTCTCCAACTTCCGTATCCGATGACCTCTTCTCTTCATTGCCCTACTCACTGGGCAGGGTACTTTCCATATGGAGCCAGCATGGTCCTTCTGCCTGTCCCTCCGAATTCACTCCTCTCCATCCCAATCACTGCAAGTGGCAGCCAAGTCTGGGCATCGAGAACAGGTAAAATCCATCAACTTCTTTCTGAGAATAAATACATAGTGTATATAGTTGCAGCTTTTGGGGAGGGAGAGGGGTATTAAAGCTTGGAGTAGAGGGTCAGTTTCCGGTACTTCCTGTTTAACCTTGCACACTCCACTCAGGAAATGGCTCAATAGAAGACACTTCCATACAGAACCGTCTCTGTTATCTGAATTTGAGTACGTTTTCATTGGTTTCTTTAATAATCTCCTCTTCTGGCAGAACCGCTAACTCTTCTTCTCCCTCCCTGCAATACATACACACCATGCACCAGAATATATATTGCAGAAAGATGAGCTACTTCACTAACTCTGTTCTAAATGACTGCAGAGCCACTGGATTTTTGAGGTAGGAACGTTTTTCAGACACCTGAGCTACCAGTCTAGCTCGAGCCGTGACAAGATGGGCTTACGTGGCTGTGCAAATTCCAAATCTGAACAGAAAGGAATAATTGTGGTGCACTCAGTTAAACTTTTAATTGCATTCTAATGAACTGTTCTACATTGATTTTAATTGTAACTTGTTCTGTATAACTATTCCTGTTGACCGTTCTGCAAGATGCACTCTTAGCATAAATAAGTGCAGCTCCATTGAGATCACTGATGAATTTTGGCCTTTTTATCAAACTAAATAGGAGTGAGAGAGGAATAAAGACTGTTTGTTTGTTTTTTGCTGCTAATTGCATGAGAGGAAGGGTGGACTTGTTAAGGCATTACATGGGGAATGAAGAGAGATGGGACCACTGGCTCTGCAGATGCTGCAAGCTTCCTGCGTGACCTTTCTGTGCCTTAGTTGTCCCATCTATAATATAGGATAATTCTGCTGCCTAACTTCACAGGGGTGGGCTGTTTGAGAGGTACTCAAATACTACAATTATGAGAACTATAGAAAAGCCTATAAATTAAAATAGATAAGCTGATGAATTCTCTTGCCTACCACTGTGATCTCTAAAGAAACGTTGAACCTGGCTTCTCTGTGTCCCTCTTTGGTGTAGGCAAAAATTTTACCAGATAACTAATTACATACATTTCACTATCTGTGATCTGAGACCCCTGAGGTTTAAAGCGGCCCTTGCTGGCCAGAGCTAATTAAGTATTCAATCTACTGATGTAAATTCTCTTAGTCTACCAAGGTCTTGACAAAACCTTCTATACTAGTTCAAGTGTAAAGCATAAGCTTTGGAACTTTTTAAATAAAACTCCTAGGGAATAAAAGAATGGAGCTAAATAGTGTCCTACGGAACCAGCTTTATAATCAATCATCCTGTGGAGCTGTGATCTCTCTGCCAGACTTTGTGAAGCAATATTTCATGTACAGCTTTCTATAATATAGATTCTTAACTGTGTTGGAGTGACCAGGTCCAGCTACAGTTTGAGAACTGAACAGAGTTGGTAATTCTTAATCACCACCACTAATCGTAAGAAAAATGTAAACCCTTTTGAAAAATTTACATCTGTGTATCGGGTGAGTTTTTAGTCTCTTGTGTTGAGAGATGTAGCACTTGGCATGGGAAGCTAATGCTGAATGCAGCACTTGATAAGCTAGTTTTATGGGCATCAGTCTTTCTTCCCACTCTTTTTCCCACCCAAGTCAGACTGTCTAACAGGCTGTGCTGTAATTGCAGACTATCAGTCAGTTAACATAAGTGAAAATTTAATCCCTGCATCTAAAGGCCAATTTTAAAAAATCACTGTGAAATGTTCTTTATTACTAATGGAGAGAAGCCAAGTAAAATCTAAGTACTTCTCTGGACAGATAACAAGAGACTGAAATGCAGTATGCTGTCCCTAAAATTCAGTTCAAGAAATGTTACACTCTTAAAGTGAGAAGAAATTGTGGTTGACTCTTCTGTCCCACTCACAGCTTCTTTAAAGAGAAGTTATTGGAGCATGCTATAATAGCTGGAAAGGGTGATACTCAATGAACTCTCAAGTAGAGCACTGAGCAAATTCTGCTTCTAAAATAGACAACAAAAGTGACATTTTGAAGGATTTGGTCATAAGACAATGTGGGAGGAAAAGCCAGCTGAAATGTTTAAAACAGAAACTGTGAAATATAATTTAAAAAATTTAAAAATGCAAAACATGTTATAAATATTTGGGTAAACTAGTAAGCTGTTCATTTTTTTTAAAAAAAAGGGGTGTAATTTCTAAATTAGGCAGAAGTGCGAGGGGGACTGATTCTTGTACTCAAACAATCTTTCATAAAGGAATTGCTGCTGCTTTGTGGAGAAATATATTTGCTGCAATATATGCCAAGGTCAAGTAACCATCTCCTTGCCCACACTTAATAGGATAAAAAAATTCATTAAGCTATTCTGATGAGGATGGGTGAATATCAGGAAAGGATTTGACATGTACGAGTGTCAGCAGAGTTTGACACTATCAATCATAGCAGTCCTAAGCTTCACATGGACCTTTTCTTGTGATGAGAAAGTTCCCTTCCAGTTGGATTCTTTCACTTAGCTTTGGCTTTTTCATAACTGAAAAGGCAGTGAACCACTGGAATAGTTTTTCCTTCCTGTAAAGCTGTTGCTACCAGATAGTGATCAGAATTTTTACTATAAGCAAAACCTTTTTCCACATTACTGCCTTTCTGAGACTAAACTTTTTAGAGGAGTGGAATGTTTTCATCAGTCTTACCTGCATTTTTACTGCATAAAGCAGAATATTTTGTTACCAACAGGTGAGACTTCCATGCACATACCAGTTCAAATTCTAGCACTGACAGACTAGTAGCAACTAGAATACTGGTGGAGAGGAAGCACTGTACGTGTGGCACTTAATAATAAATGTGGTAAATAAATTCATTGGGTATCTATGTAAGTGTCGTTCATGCCTACTGCTGCCATGCTGTCTGCAATCTACGGCAAAAGTATATACGCTCCTTAACAGACAGATTGGGATACATGGAAAACAAAGTTTCAAGCTTTCTAAGTTTAGTAGGGTTGAATATATTTAGCTATAGGCAAATGGAGAGAACAGATAAGGGACTTGGGTCTGGTGTACACTACAGAGTTAATTTGATGGAAGTCATGTCAACCTAACTATGGAAGTGTCTACAATTAAATTTTGCTCCTGCCAACGTAACTGCTCTGCTTGCTGACTTAATAACTCCACCTCCACTAGCAGTGTAGAGTCACAGTTAATGTACTTAGGTCGATGCAGTGTCAGTGTGTGTCTACACTGACACTGCGTAGCTTACTTTGGCTTTCAGGAGCTGTCCCACAGTGCCCCACACTAACAATACAATTAATACAGGCACCCCTGGTGAGGACACACACCACCGACACAAGGAGCAAAGTGTAGACATGCAGAAGTGATGTAATTACTGTGGCGGCTGTATGCCAACTTAGGTTAGGTTGACTTAATTTTGTAGTGTAGACATGACCTTAATCTTAACAAATGAAGTCAAGGCAGTTCCAGATTACTGAGTTATTTAATTTTTCTTGTGTGTGTGATGCTAATAGTGCACATACAAAAAATAGAAGCTTAGTGTTAGAAGATCCCAAACTGCTGTGTAGGTCTTCTTCCTATAGATCTGTGTAGCCAGTAGTCTTTATAGACAAGACTTGGATATTCCCATCAATTAAGAGCACTCCAACAGGTGTTAGAGGGGATGTGGAGTTAATCTTGTGGAAGTCCTTGATCATACTTGTTTGGCTTCCATGCTCCTTTTGTTTGGCAGGCAAGTCTGTCGGGGCTTATTTTTTTTGTTACTTTAAATTTACCTTTCAAACAAACAAACAAACAAACAAAACCAGCTTGGAATGGAGAACCCAGGCTCTCTTGAAAACAGCTCCAGCTTTCGTACTTAAAACAAGCTTCCTCCCCTTCTGAAATTTTCTGACTTTCTTCATCATACTTTTTGGTTAAGAAGTGAAAATAGAAGTATTTCCCTCCTGGATAATTTGTCAATGAATCTTAGACGCTAATGACAAATGTAGGTTGCTGTCATGTCGGGTTTTTTGGGGGATGGGGTGGGGTAGAGAGAGGGTCATTTGACATGTCTGACATTTCTTTGCTTCCTTGGAGGCTAGATTATACTGATGAAGTCTTTCGTCCCCTTCTTTGGTGTAATCCTAATTTAGCTGTCTTTTTGTTTGTTTTTTGTTCTTTTTGAACTAGTTATGCCATGTTACCACACATGACTGTCCACGGAACAGAAGCTGCAAGGACCACGAGTGCTGAGATAAGGTAAGAGTCTTACCGTGTAATATTTGTTACATATGGTGGGGATGTGAGTTTTTCCACATTCTGGCAGTCTGGCTTTTCAGGTTTTGGTAGATCCATTTAAGGGTTTGTCTGCCAAAACCTCAGTGTAACACCGATTCTGAATGGGTGTGTTTTCATATATACACACAACAGTAGATGACTGGATGTAGCAAATGTAGATAATCTTTAAGCCCTTCTGTGCTGCTTGTCATGAAGATACATGACATTATTGTGGTCCATTTTTTCACCCCAGATACTTTATCTTGTTCAAGAGCTGGACTTCAAACACTGGTATTTACTCTCCTGTATCTTTGGTGCTTATGTGGGAGACCAATCTCCTTTTAAATACATCTAGTGAACAAAGGAAACAGTTACAGCAATCCAGTCAAGGTTCTAATTTATAATATGTCCTAGATTCTAGAATGCCGTCACAATAAAAATCCGGCATTAATCTAAATATTCTTTCTTCTTCATCCCCCCGCCCCCCTTTTTTTTTTTCTTTTTCCCCTCCTCAAATTTATAGGCTGGAACGTTCACTCTGTGATTTGCTACCAAAGTCTCGCATGTTTCCGGAATCGGCAATCTCTCCACTCAGGCTTTCAGTACCTGAATTACAGGTCCATCCCTTTGATGAACTCGATGCTTCTCTCCCATTGTGTCCCACATCCCAGAGCGCCACCAAACTGAAAAAAGTGAGTGGCTTCTTGTCTTCATTAGTGGAAGTAGGCAGGCAGCCAGTGTTTGTGCATACAGTAAAATGGTGGCTTTGTTAACCTAGAAATCTAGTGTTGCACTGCAACTAGACAAGGATTAGGGTTTAGGTCTGAGCTTGGACCTTCGTTCCCCAGGCACACAAGACCTGGATCACTATAGCTCCTTGCATTCCTCTGGTCTGTGCTACTCCTGCGTTAATTGGGAGTAGCTGCTGCTGAAGCAGAAAGAGGTAAGCAAAACATAAAGGGATAGAGAGGGCCTATGAGGAGAAGAGAATTCTGGAAGACTGCTTTCCTCCTTACCTTTCCCAGAAAGTCCTTGATATATTGCACTGACAAACACTAGCAAGATTCATTGATTTGATTTTTTTTTTTAAAGCCAAGTGGGACCTCTGTAACCATCTAGTCTGATGTCCTAAGTCATAGAATTTGTCCCCGTGATTCCTGCATCAAGCCCAATATCCCATGGTGGAAATAGAGCATTTCTTCAAGAAAAACATCCAGTTTTGATTTAAAGAAACTCAGTGGTGAAGCTGCATCACTCTGTCACTCTCCTTGCTGAATGGCTTGATGTTTCATACATTATAGTAAAAATAGATATACATTTGTATTGCCTGGAGCATGTAAATTTTGTTGCCAAAAAAGTGTTATACTACAAAATTTCCCTGATATGTAGCCTGCCTTAGCTTCGTACAAACAATGTTTTACTTACACACACTTAAAATGGAGACCCCAAGTGGAAGAGAACACTGCTGATAGGTAAGCAATTGCGCCTTTATTTTATATTTCTTACTCTTTGTCCAAAAGGCTGAGCCAGAGAAGAGGCCAAAGAGAGTTTCTCAGATCCGGATCCGGAAAACTGTTCCCAAGCCAGATCCTAACCTCACCCCCATGGGACTCCCCAGACCAAAAAGGTGAGATGTCTCTCTTAAATGGACAGTGATACTGGGATCTGCTACTTCTAAGGCATCTGTCCAGCACTGTAGCATCACCATTCCAATAAATGGCTTTCCTCTTCTGTCCATTCTCTCTACTTGCCCAGTTAGTCTTTTCCTAGTTAGGTGGTCTTGGTACTCAGTTTCTCCATAAGCCAAGGTTAAGAGCTGGGTATGTTGTCTGGATAGAAGAATGAGGAGGTACATGGCTGTCTCCAAACAAATAGGATGTTACAGAGGACAAAGATCAATTTTCATAAATCAGAAAAGAAAGAACTAGGAGTAATGGATTTGAACTACTCCAAGTAATATTTAGGATAAATATGAAAAACTTTAGAAGCAGCAATGGAATGAATTGCCAAGGTAGGAGATGGAATTCCCCTTACAGTCTAGCCATGAATAACTCAAGTAGACACAGATATGTTAGAAATAAATCAGTCCTGCTACAATTCAGGGAGAGAAAACTGATGACCTTCTAGAATCCCCTACCAACTCAAATTCTGAGATTATTTTTTTTTGTCTGCAATCTCAATTTACCTGACTGTCCAACAGGATGTAGGAAAACCAAAGCTGAATATTAATTTGGGCAGTCTCTATGTCAACGACATACACAACTTTTCCAATGTACTTGAGTCTGACCTGTTCTAGTCCAGGGCCACTGTTGAAGAGCAGAAGTGGCAAGTTGGTGGATGGTTGAGGATAACATGTTTCTTCAGAGATTACATTTGAAACTGCATCAAAAGAATTACCATTGTCTATAGTCAAATTTTAAACCAAGTCTCAAGAGATGAAATCCATTAATTAATCTTTTGTGCCATTGAAATGTTTTTTCCTCCTCTCCATTTTTCATAACTAGGGATCTACTTAAATTGTGGAGAAATCACACATTTTTCATGGGTTGGTCATGGCATAGATAGCAAATTTCATGGATGTGTATTTATGCCATGACCAACCCACAAAAAATGTGTGATTTCTCTGCAGAGTTTCTCAAACTGGAGGCCCCAACCCAAAAGAGAATTGCAAATCTATTAGGGGGTTGCAGTATTGCCACCCTTACTTCTCCAATGCTGCTGGCTGTTGTGCTGCCTTCAGAGCTGGGTGCTTGGGCAGCAGCTGTCGCTCTCTGCTCTGTCTTCAGAGCTGGGCAGCCAGAGACCAGATTTCATGGACATGATTTACACAGCCACGAATTTGGTAGACCCCTATTCATAACCCAGAAGGCAGTGACCTGTGAGGGTATTTTTCTATTTTGCCTTTGAGTATCATTGTTTAGAAATGTCACTTCATGCTAGGAGGAGCATTCATCCTTGCAGAAATGCCAGGTCACAACCCACAACTCCCTGAAGCACCATTTGAAAGGTTCATCAAAACTAGTTTCTCAGATCTCTTTCTAAAACTCATTATAAATTAATTAATGGAGTTTGAGGAGGGAGAGGAAAACCACATTTTCCCCATGTCAGGTTGCCTGTGTAGGGGAAGATGATTCTGAAATTCTCCTGGCTTCATGGCTTCATTCACTACTTGTTTTTCCAGGCTGAAGAAGAAAGAATTTAGTTTAGAAGAAATTTACACAAACAAGAACTACAAGTCCCCTCCAGCGACCAGGTTGGTTACATTCACCAACAGGTGGGGTGAGGCATATGTAATTGAACTGGTTGGAGATATGAAACTACAGGGCTTTGGGAAATAAAAAGAGAAAAATAAGCACCCTTCAAAACAGAGTTGAAATGATGGCTCTGATTTGAACTGCTGAAGAAAGGTAATTCAGAAAGCAGGTTGAAAATCTGTCCTTAATATCTGTGAGTGATTGAGGACAGGAAGTTTACAGTAGCAGAAATTGAGAACTTATAGATGTTGAAGGTTTAAATTTCACTTTTTTGTATTTGCCTTTTATTTGCATTCATTTAATTGTGCAGCCAATGTACAGTACCCATTGTTTCCAAAATTCAAAAGCAAACAAGATATTCCAAATTTATACTGACATGGAATATAGGGTCTGGACAGACCCCCTCAGTGCAAAATACCAAGAATACTGCTTTACAGACAATTTTACATCTCTCCCCCCACCCCCCTTTTTTTTTTTAAAATCCGTTGTCTAGGTCTAAATGCCTCTGTTCCTTAGGATAAAGATGCCTCTGTTCCTTGGTCTGCGCTTTTGGACTAAAATGGGCAGAGGGAGATTCCACCTGCATATCTTTGCACCAACAAGAAACTATCCAGGAAATATACTAACAGTTGGGTGATGTGAAACTATTTCTAAAGAGAAGTGGTCATTGGTTAGAAGCATGAGCTCCAGATAAGTTTGCATGCGAGAGGCCCCGGAAGGATCATTGAATTGTAGAATCCTAGAAGTTAGAGATGTTAAAGGCCTGAGTCATATAGTCCATTTCCCTGACACTGCAGGATGGTTCCTTTCACTTCTGTGAACAAAGTAGTATATTACTCTGATATTCTAACTTATACCCTTTGCCCTTCCCAGGTGTCTGGAAACCATCTTTGAGGAGCCCAAGGAGAAAAATGGATCCTTGATCTCTATCAGCCAGCAGAAGAGGAAGCGGATTCTGGAGTTCCAGGACTTCACTATTCCCCGGAAGAGGAAGGCACGAAGCAGAGTTAAAGTGGCGGGTAGTTTCACCCGGGCAAAAAAGGCTGCACTACAGGGCAGAGAGCTAGATGCCCTCCTGATTCAGAAACTAATGGACCTTGAAGCCTTTTTTGCAGAGGAGGAGGAACGGGAGCAAGCATCTGGAAGCTGAGGGAAGCATCTAGTGGGAAATGGCTCAGTTCCTTTAATGCTTTGATCCGCTTGGGAGGGATCTGCCTATTTCTCCAGACCTTGCCAACCACTCAGTTCTAATACCTGATGATCATTTGTTGGCTGTCACCCTCTTTGAGGTGCTAGTGTGTGTGTATATATATATAATGTATGTGTGTGTATATATATATATATATATATATGTACACACACATATAATGCAGGAGAGAGTCCTTTAATTCCCCTGCATGAGTGTAGCACAGCCAGGAGGCATGCTATTCCTCCCCAACCACTTTAGAAATTGTGGCTAATATTTAAACTCCTCCTGCAGGTGGGATAAGGAGAGTGAAGGAGGAAATAGTACACCTTCAATGACACTAGGATTCGAAATACTCCTGAACTTTTGCATATTCATTTGAGTCTGCTGTTTACTGTAGTGGCTTGTCCAGACAACTTGACAGAGGCAGGTGAGATGAATTCAGAGAGATGAATTTAGGGAGGTGGGTTCTTGAGATACCACAAACTTCAAAAATTAAAGAAAAATAGTTTATTTGCTTTTAATTACTTCCATGTCTGTGCCCAGAAGTTTTCTTCTGTGATTCAGTTGCCCTTCCTGCACTCAGTCAGCAGCAGCCATACATGACCAGGTCTTAAATAAGTTGCACTTTGTATGTGTTTTTCCTTTATTTGCTGCATGAAAGGCGCCTTTTACTGTTACTTACCTTGTTTTTTTTTTTAATCACACATTAAGAAAAATGGCGCTAAATGCTAAATTCTAACAAATTATAGAGTGGATTTGTTAACCTGGTTTGCTGATGCTTTGCCTTTGGAGGGAGGGGGGAAGGTAGGGAGTAGCAGAAGGCTATTACTAATGTTCAGTTAGTGGGACTATGCTCAGAGATGTGGCACCAGGAACTTCAGTGTGAAGTTTATACTCTTTTTAGCGGTTTTAATTCTGACAAGAATACTAATTTGATCTCAACAAGCCAAGCAGATTTTTCTCCATCTCATCTTTCTACCATTTTAACTTAGAATTCTAGTTTGGGATAGAGCTTCACATAGCTTATATAATTAGAGGTTCAGTATACAGCAGTGCTGTACTTAATGGCTAGTGTTGTACAAAGAGATTCACTCAAGCCTCCTAATGTATAGAATGTGTGTTTTTTGTTTTTTGTTAATACTTAAGGCCATTCGTAATTTGAAGTAGCACTGGGTACTCTCTCAGCCATACTTTTGAGGACCAGTGCTCCCCTCTGGGATCCTTACTTGAAGCTGCAATTCAGGTAATTTCTGTTCTTCAGTGCCTACAGGAGTTATTCAGGCAAAGCTTAATGGGATGCTGTCATTGGTGACATTCTCAAAGTTTAACAGTTCCATTGTTTCTTTTCCCTGCCACTTGCACTTTTTTTACCAATGTGCCCCTACAGCAACTTTCTATTTACCTCCAAAATCAGTGTGTACGTCAGACATGTAGTGAATGAGCTTTCTCACCCAGCCCAAACATGGGTTGAGGATACCCTGCGATCTTTTTTGCTGCTCTGCCAGCTTTGTTGTTGACCTGACAGAGAACTTAAACTGACAAGCCATCTGTTTAAATTCAAGAACTTTGAACAGGCAGGAAATGTTGGATGATCGCACTGTGTGACTTCAGTGAATAATGTTCTGGGTTTGTTTTGTTCCCAGCTCATTTGCTGGGATTCTTGCACTGTTTACACCCTTGTTTTGGGGGTTGATCATCTTTACCCAGTGAGGAAAACTGAAATAGAAATGCAAACTACTGCTTTGGTTGTTTTATGCTGGTTGAGGCAAAATTTGGGCCTATTGACATACCGTTTTGGCTACTGCTGTACAGGTCCATTTGATCCATTGAGGTTACTAAGTGATACCTTAGTCAGTCCTCCTCATATTATGAAAGGGATCCCTGAAAATAACTAATCACACTACTGTGGATATTGCCTTCTAAAATGTTTTTTAAACTCCCCATACAATTCATGACATCAGCACAGATATTGACTGACTGGAAGCTGCAGTAGGGGACTTTGCTTTCATTTTTATGCCACAATGTGGGATTTCATGACACACTATTACAAAATGAATTAATACTGATGTGGAATTAATGCTAATGAGGGATCTTCTGGCTCTATGGTGGAGTTGGGATGTAACCTCTGTGGGGGTTTGTGAAGTGGGTGGGTGGGTGGGGAGAAAACTCAGGTCCAAGCAGGGTTCTGCCCGCTTAGCGTGTGCTTTGAAACATTTAATTTGTTTTTACCTTTTGTTCTTTGCTTCTTTCCTCTTGGCCTTGTTTATTGTCACTTTGAAATAACATGTCACAGAAAGCTCTTTTTGTTGCTACAGCAGAGAGGCACAATGAAAATATTCAGCTCCATTTCACTTACAATCGCTGGAACTGTTCAGGTCTGTGATTCCCCAATGTACCACATTCCCCAGGATTTTTGAAAACTCTAACACTTCAGCATTATCATGATCAAAGGTTTTTTTATAGCTGTGTAATGAAGGTATAAACTAATCTAGATTACCCCCCCCTTTTCAGGTGGTCTAACCTTAATCATGCTTTTGTGGTTCTCCACAACTTCTGTTCCTGTTTGCAGTGCTCCTGGAGCAGCAGCCTTGCTCTGACTTTTGGTTGTGGCAGCAGTTTATACTGTGAGGGACAATAGTGCAATGATTGGGTGTCTTAAACTCCAATCTGAGCTGCTTCTGTCCCATATAGTCTTTTTATGAGAGAAATGTGGAGGATGCAAACTTTGGGATATTGACATGCTTCTCTAGCATAAGGAAGTGTACACTTGCCTTTTCCTAAAATGGAGCCACCCAAGTGAGGATTTTTTTTGTCGTATGGAAAAGACCGTGTACATATGGCTCTGTGAATTACTGTGAGTGCATTTAAAAGGCGAATTTGCAGAGCTGTCCGCACGTACTCTGTCAGATGTTCAGCTTGCATTGCTGGGCTCTTTCCTGAGAAACGTAGCTGGCTGGGGATGGACGGGGTTTTTATTTTACTGAAATCAAAGCTTAATGTTCTCATCCAGCTGCAAACCAAGCAGCAAAAGGTACTTGATGCATATTGAGGGGGCTCTCATGACCCTGTATCCCCAGGATTATGTACACTTGAGTTCTGATGCTTTCCGGATGTGGTTTTTGGCAGGCCATTCTCATTTACCGTATCCTATTCAGAGTTGGGTTCTGTGATGTGGTAGATGTCAGTCACTCTGCTGGAGAGTGGATGCTAACTGCCTGAATGAGATGTGTGTCTGATATTATCATGTTAATAAATAGCTCAATGGAAATTTGTACTCTTTTTGTAACATTGGCCTCTGTTATGCCTCAGCAGATTAGTTTCTGTTCAATAGTTTGTGAATCTAAAATTCCACTGATTTTTTTTTCTTTTGTGTGTGTGTGTGTTTTTAATTTATGGAAATAAATTGTTTTGAGAACCTTTCAATTGTTTACTAAAGACTTTGGGTTTTTATTCCTCAAATACCACTCTAATTTTGTGTCTTAAGTTAGTTCAGGTTTCTCATCTGTGAAAGGGGGATAATATCTGTCTCTTAGTGGAGCTGTGAGAATGAATTCATTGTCAGTAGTGTTTTGAAATCCTTGAATAGAAGTGCAAATATTGCTTCTCTTTAGCCAGTAGCTGTTTAGGCTACTGTGTAACATTTTGCACACACATGAGATGAAGAAACTGCATGCAGGCTTGCGTACAGTGCAGACAAATGAATCTTCAAACACCACCTTGGCGCTCAGGTAAGGGAGTGTGATGGTTTCTTGGTCCTAATGTTTTCCTGTTTATAGACTACCCAACAACACTGGCAAGTGCAGGATGGTCTGCATGAATTCTGTATTCTTTCCCTGTCTGATTCATTCTTATTTTTCCTTTGCTGTCTCCTGTCCAAACCAGAGGTTCCATGTTGCAAGCACCAGCATGCCAAAAAAGTCACTGATTAGCTGAGGTAGCTGCTGAGTCTTGCACTGCGCCTCCTGAATACCACTGCTTCTATATAGCTTTGCTACCCCAAAGACAGTGGGGAGAGAACTGGGGAATTAAACACAGGCCTTCTACACTATACATAGCAGTTAGTGTTGGGAGACATGGTTGATCTCTGCAAAGTACACCTCTACCCTGATATAACGCTGTCCTCGGGAGCCAAAAAAATCTTACCGTGTTATCGGTGAAACCGTGTTATATCGAACTTGCTTTGATCCGCCGGAGTGCACAGCTCTTCCACGCCCCATCCCCCCGGAGCACTGCTTTACCGCGTTGTATCCGAATTCGTGTTATATCGGGTCGCGTTCTATCGGGGTAGAGGTGTAGTAAGGTATTGTAAATTCCTGCCTATGAGACACTGAACAGTCACACAGAATTCATAACTCACGAAAGATTTGAAACAATTAACTAAGCCTTCTCTTCATATACTACAATCTGTGGAAGAAACCAGGCTGATGACTTCAAACTAAGATTTAATCACTTTGATATAAGAGATTTATTACTCTAAAGTTTTGTGTCCAGTCATTCCTGCAGAAAACTGATTTTTTTTTTTCCTCTGTGATTTGTATTTCTCATAACAAAGGCCATCCAGCATTCTGGACAGACCCTAACTACATATAAAAATGTTGCTGGTAAAACAAAACTTGTAGTTGAAGTTGTTAAGCTTTTTAATTGTATTAATCTTACATTCTACAGTTGTCTTATTAATGTTTTCTACTAGTTTATGTATTCTCAGCTGTGGAAGTCCCCTCCTGGGTTCAAAGTTCAGTGCTGCATCAGTCCAGTAGATGGTGTGTGAACTCAAAGGAAGGGAGCATGAGGAAGCCTAAACTTGCATTAATTATGGTGAAATGAACAGATCCAGCCCAGAAGCAGGACCCTGTGTACTCTGCAATTCAATGGCTGCAGTATTTGACACCTTTCCGAGATGCCCCAGACATCATCATTTTTGCTGCAGCAAGGTGCACGTTGGTTTCCTTGTCATGTTGGGACTCAGCTATAGTTAGCTTTCCCCAGGAGGGCGAGTGAGTTGGATTACAGTGCATGCTCCCTGCACGGTTTCATCCACTCAGGCAGAATGGAGCCAGGGAACAGGGGAGCCAGAAGTAGAGAAACTGCTTGAGAACCGCACAGCAGCCAGGG